ATGCTAGTATCAACCTTTCTAGTTAAGTTCATATCAAATCTTGTGTGACAGCCATGTTATTGCTGTTGAATCAAGAATAACATTATCCCTATATAAGAGGTGTGCACAATCTTATTCTACAGGGGTATCTGAAAAATTTCCCCGCATACATAAGGTTGTGTATATAGCTAAAATTCATGATTTTAGAAGTCCCCTGTGCCATCCTTACTAGTTAAGCTCCAATATCTTTTATACACGTACTATCGATCAATTTTCATGATGTTGGGATGCTGTGGAATAAGAAGGACAGAAATGCAAAAAGTGTGAGGTCACAGAGGTCGCACCCTATCACTTAATACAAGTGTCCTGAAATTATGTAAATGTCATGTTGCACTATAATATTAGAGCTCATGGTTACATAATCATATGCACTGTAAAACTATGTAACTTAGGGAGCCTTTTGCACTGCACTAATAGAGTACGTCTACACAGCTAACAATCTTGCATAACCTTACTATTATAGAGCTATTGTACTCCCTGTGGTTGTGTATTTCAGCATAATATGCACTGTGACTCTCTTCCAAATTTACTAATACCGGCAAAATCTCAGGGTAAACAAAACCACAAAATTAAGTACGTGTACTCGTAAACAATTTTTATACACTAAGGTTTAATAATAATTATACTACTTTTGTGCACGGTACACAGAGATCAGTGAGTGATGGTCACCATGCAGCTGTCGCTATAGACAAGATTTTACGTCTTGCAATAGAGCATCTGATGCTGTCGTTCATTTTTGTGCTATCTCACGATGAATCATCTTCTCCCCAAACTTATGTAGTTAGTGGCAAAGGAATTTCCCCTCTGTGATGTTTAGCTTCTCCAGTCATGCGACTCTGACACTGTGTCATGTGCAAAACAAATGAAACGGACAGAGTGTCAATTCCTGCTGCTATATTTGTTGGGCTAAATCATGTGTTCACTACTATCATAACCTTGCATGTAGACCATTGGACATAGTAGTGTATACCTTCGAGCTAAATGTTATTGTCTTGGGTTGGGTACATGTTACTTACTTTGAAGCTAATTGATACTTTGGCAAATGCTTCTACCAGTGATCATATTATATGCTCATTCCAAGTATTTAGCTACTTGGCAACAGTTGGAGGATTTTCATCAAAGACGGTTTTCACATAGTACATGTAACTTTCAAGCTATATAATGGAACAATTATTATGTTATCGACAGACTAATTGAACCATAGTAACCTATATGCACCTTCAAATATTTAGCTACTTGGCAACAGTTGGAAGAATTTAATCAGAGATTCCACATCACTAGCGGTGTATGTCGGTTTCAAGCTAATGGACTTTTTGGCAAATGGTTCAACCAACAATTAAAATGAGATTGAAGTACACTTTGGCTAATGTCAAAACAGTCTCACTAGCGGTGCATGTCCTTTTGAAGCTAATGGATTCTTTTGGCAAGTCGTTCTACTAACAATTATGGGATAATTACGTGAATCCTTAGCAAACAGGAATTCGATCTCAGTGAGCAGTATTTCCATTCCAGTTATGCTAAGCTATAAAATCCACCGTCACTGTGCCATGTTCAAAACAAATCAAAAGGGATAATAATGATTATCTTTTCTCTGCTAGTATTTGTTGGGCTGGCAGCTCAGCTAGTATCTTGTGCTCACTTTAATCATAATGTTGAGTGTGGGCCTACTGATGCAGTATGTGAGTGTGATCCTGATGCCACTGTCTGCAGCTTCCAGTTCTACGTGGAATATGTTTTTACCTTTGCAAAATATAACAGCAGTATCCGCTACGCCCAGGGTCAAGGAGAACTGTTTTATATCAATAATTTGGGAAACTTCATATCTTACCGAGGATATGGATTATGCCTGGATGGCAATTTTGTCAAGAGGACAGGGTCAGACTTGTATTGCAATGAAGATAATGTATGTGTTAAGAAGGAAAAGCTGTGTACTGGCCCAATAACGGTCGATAGTAAAACTTACAAGACTGTCATTGCAGTCAACAAGCAGTTCCCTGGACCAACTCTGATAGTTCATGAGGGGCAAATAGTTGCAGTCGATGTACACAACAATCTCAGCACTGAAGGAATATCCATTCACTGGCATGGACAGCACCAGATAAAGACCAACTTCATGGATGGAGTCAGTCAACTGACGCAGTGTCAGATTTTACCAGGAACTTCATTTCGCTACATATTTAAAGCTATTCCCAGTGGAACATTTTGGTACCACTCACATATTGGGTCTCAGCGAGCACAAGGCCTCTTTGGAGCACTGATTGTGAAAGAGAAAGCAAATACAATACCCAGTTTCATTCATAGATGATCCTGCACAACACACTGTGACAGTTATGGACTGGTTTGATCAGGATGCAGAAGTACATTTCCGAAACTTGCGATTTGGTCTTGGACGTTATCCAGAGCTCCCACCAAATGTTCTTCCTTCTGACCTGAATCAAGCTAATGCTTATCGTGATACAATTGGCCCAGATTTTACTCAAGTTGGAATTATCCCATTTTGGTCTGGTTTAATAAATGGCAAGGGTAGGCATCACAGTGTACCTTTCAACCGCTCCAGCCTTACAATCTACGAAGTTGAGCAAGGAGAGACATATCGTTTCAGACTGATTCATGTAGGGATGCAGTATGCCTTTAAATTTTCTATCAACAATCACAAGCTGAAAGTAATGGCAACTGATGGATACCTAGTGGAGCCAGTAGAGGTGGATTACATCACTATGCATTCAGGAGAGCGGTATGACTTTCTACTGGAGGCTAATCAAGAAGCTGGGGACTACTGGATGAAGGCAGAAACTTTCGACATAGACATTGGAAACAGCACAGCTCCACCATACAATTTCTTTGACCATACTGCAATGGCTATACTGCACTACTCTGGCTCAGACAAGCCAAAATCAACCGACTATGAAAATATTCCAAGTTCTCCTAGACAATGCAATCCATGCAAGATGTTAAATTGCCCTATTGGACAGTTTCACCCATCATACAACATTGAATGTACTGGTATTGACAGTCTCAGACTTGTCAAAGCCACTCCTGAAAGTGAAATGCCTGACCAGATACCTGATGTCACATATTTCACAAATCTTGCAGGATATGCAGGGTTTGATAAGCCAGTTAGCAGCATCAATGACAAGCTTTTTGTTCTACCTCAATTTCCGCTAGCAACACACTCTGAGAAGAATGATGAAAACTCATTTTGTGACGTGAATTCTATGTGCGAGATACAGGGAGGGTGTGATTGTACTACATTTATGGATATCGGTCGTAATGTGACAGTCAGACTTGTCATCAGCACAGTGGGCGAGGAGAGAAATGATAATCATCCTATTCACATTCACGGCCACTCTGTGCATGTCCTGAGTGTTGGACATGGTGAATATAGCAGCCAAGACGGCTCATTAACTAACAGCTCTCGAGACCTGACTTGTTCTGCAAATGGAGATGATGCACAAATTCTGGATGACATTCGTTGCCCAAATCCTCGTTTTAGGTCACCCAAGACATTTACTCTCGACAAATTTACAGTTCGAAAAGACACCTTTATTGTACCAGGCGGTGGTTATGTTGTAGTTCAGTTCCGTTCGAATAATCCTGGGTACTGGCTTCTTCATTGTCACAATGAGGTACACCAGAGAGAGGGAATGGCTCTTATCATACGAGAGGATGTGGAGAATATCAAGAGTCCCCCTGAAGAGATGAAAACATGCAATTCATTCATCTGGGATGTCGATGATTTTATGTCAGCAATACAAGAAGAAAAAGGGAGTGGCTCATCAGTTATTCCAAGCATTCTGATAAGTAGTTTTGTGTTTGTACTTGGAATGCTTTATTGACCATACCAATAAGGCAGCATGGACTTATTAGTGTAGGTTATTTGCTAAAATAGAGCTGACTGTTATTTTTACTGCTTACTTGATTATGAAAATGTCGCTATTTGAACTTCATTGCTTAACGGATGGGTTTCTGCCACCTGACTAAACAAATATTGCTGCACCCCCCGGCAGAGCGAAAAACGTTCAGGGCAGGTATCTATAACGCGCATGCGCACACCGCCCACCCACTTAGTAAGCGCGCACATGGCCGAAGGCAGGAGCAGCGAGGCACGAGATGACGAAGTTCTCATCACTCGTGTCTCTCCTCCACCCCCCAAAAGAAGTAAAGTAGATAAGGAGGAGGTAGCAGAACTTGTGTACGTAGACAGCGAAGAACCCCTCCGTTGCAGTACCCCACACGACTCTATAGGTGAGATTGTAGCAACGTGTGCAAGTCACTACAGCGTGACCTTTTGGTGTGTAAACAGTTGACCTTTTGAATCTTTACACGTGGCGTTAACAGCGGACATGAACTAGGACTGAGCCTACATAATTATTCTGCTGTACAAAACCTTTCAGATGTGTTCATTGATGAGACAAGTTCATCCTTGCCCCCTGTTGGTGCTGTTGTGGCCAGCTTCTCCACCTTACCTCATCTGATTGCTGTCCCTCATAGTGTGAATAAAGGTGACCAGTTAGGTTCTTATAATTTGAACCCACGTGGGTTTTAGGGTGCATACTTTACGCCACTGCGATGAGTTTCTCACTTCCCAGTGTTAGGTTATTAGGTTGGGGGCAGTTATTATCTTCCTGTGGTTTAATTTCCTTTTCACGGGTCTTTAACAGTTGTAGAGGAAGCCAATGATGTATGTATGTCTTAAACTCAGAGGTCAAAGTCCACGTTGCCGTAATAATGACGTAACGTGCGGGGCTCTCGTGCAAATGTCGGGGGGAGGGGGAGGATACCTTGTAAAATTTAAAAAGCCAATCAGCACGTGTAATGCAGAACCCCGGTCTGCTCCTAGATACGGAGTGAGAGTATACTGTGCCATAGCACAGTGGTTTGAGGTGTGCCTTTGTCTTTTGTTGTGTTGTAGATTCGGACCCCTACCAGCTGAGTTGCCCTGATGGCTCAGTTGGTGGAGCGCTTGCCTAGACTGCAGAGTGTCGTGGGTTCGAATCCAACCAATCCCTGTTGAACCCCGCTATAGTTTTGCGTATGTGCACGTCGTTTGCAATGAGTTAAACCTATGTACTCTGTAGATGAGAGAAGAGAGCAAGAACTGTTGTTTGGACTAAACAATGAGTATGCAGGTACACTACCTTTTTGTCTGAGTTTGTGTGTCTGTGCCGGTTACATTTCTCCTGAGGTTTACGAATTATACCTGTATTGCAGCCATGCCAGTAAAAACGCACCCCAGGCTTCCATACACTATGAGTGTGCTTCATTGAAGCTAAAACTGCAAGTAGTAGCTCATGTTTGCATCATTTACGTACTTCAGCTTGAAGGCGACAATTTTGCGCAAAAAGCATAACTAGCCAGCTATAGTGAGTGACCGGGATTAGGATATGAAGTGCAAATGGCAGAGTAGAGTCATAAACTACTTCCTTTCCCTCTCTGCCAGACCAATTTGCTCCCTGAAAATTTTTTCACCTGGTACAAGGAAATGCTTTGGGAATGCTTTTGACCACAAGTATGTAATTATAGGTACATCCGCCTCATCAGGGCCAACCATGGAAATATTTCTACTAGAACATGCTATCCTTAGTAGTGATCATGAGATTCATGTTTAGACAGACCTAAAACTCCCAGTATCATCAGAATGCTGTACTATTTATGTATTGTCATTATTGCTGCAAATCGCATCACTTGAGTGTAAACTGTGATCAAAAGTTCACCAGCAGAGATTGGTAGATTGTGCTAATGGTTTGTATTACCACATGCTGCACAACAGAGCAAATCTCTAACAGTGATAATATGGTGTCTTCACTTAGAGCATTGTTTAGCGGCACTTCCTGGGATGTTGCCCACCTCATAGAGAATGTACATATATATGATTGTACCAGGATGTTACTGTGATCTACTGCTTACTTATGTATATTTGTGTGCGTGCTACATGTCTGTGTGTGTCCAGAAGCCTTCTTGAAAGAGGAAGAAAGTGATAAAGCAGCATTGGTTGAGGAAATTTTAACCTGTCCAACATCTGCACAAGGAGCAGTGGATGGAAAATGTGGTGTAGAGAGAAGTAATGGCTGGGGGCGAGGATCAGAGGTAGCAGGTGTACCAGAGATCGTTGAGGAGATCCTGGGACAAGTACCAATCTACCATCTCTACAGCAGCTGTCGTCTGGTCTGCCGGAAGTGGAACCATATCATACTGAGAGAAAAGGTGAGTACTATTTTTTCCCCCTAATGTTTCACTGATTAGTGGCACCGCTTGACACTTTTCATAGAGCCGATTGATGCGTTATTTGTGTGCAGAGTACTGCGTCTGGGAGAACCGCTCAAAAAAAGTTAAAGTACCGCACCGTAGCAGTACCGTACCTTGAGCGAACCAAGAGCATACGCAAAGCGCACCAAGGCCGTACCGCGAGTGAACCAACTTTGGGGCGTATCCTACGCGCCCGTGTAGTCTGGTTCTGATACTGTGCGATGCGCGCGTACGTGTATGTATTGTGCGAGCGCACCAGATCGTAAGTACTTCAACTTTTTTTGAGCGGTACAGTATATTGTGCCATTTGAAAACCATCATGAATACAAATACTTATATTGCACTCTAAGTATGGAGGCACAATGTTACATTCGGTAATTATAACTCTTCGGAACATTAAATAATGGTTTCTAAAATGCAATTTTGATGGATGAGACTATATTCGACACTCCTATAGAAATGGAGAGGAGCAACGTTTTGTAAGCCCTGGCCAAAAAATAGAGCTGGTTTCAGGCATCCAAGGAATTAACACACAACAAAGAAAGGGTGAACATATAAGACGTTCTTGAAATAAAAACAAAAGGAAAAAAACGGAAATTCAAAGGATACTATTAATCTTTAGGGGAGGCGTTTAGTAGCTTAGAGAGTGGCATTTCCTCTCCGAAGACAAGATAGTGCACCGTTGGAAGAGATGACAGGTTGTTTCTGATGAAGGGATACCCAGCTGCTCCCCCAACAGATGACAGAGGGAGTTTTGGCAGCGAGATTGCTTCAGCCTCCGAGATTTTCAACCAACAGGGGGAAGAAAGACACTCCCACAGCCTTGCATGATAGGGCCATACTGTCAGGGCATGCCTTGGACACTGGCTGCACCTTGTAGGGTAAGCTATTGTTTTGTATAGAAATGACGGAGCCATCGAGCGCGGCTGGACGTCCACTTTCCCAATTAGGAAGGAAATGTTAGCGGTGCGGGATTGGGAGCTGGGTACAAGAAGTGACAACTGTGCTCCTGAGAAAAGTGTGAGTCGTAAAATGTTACGTACATGATGTCCAGCCACCAGAACAGTCTATACACCAACCATTTCTCACCCATGCAAGCATACAGGTATTGCCATGTACATGTTTTATACGGTGCCGAGGGTTTTGCAGTTTAGTTGATCGGTGTTGTCAGAGAGGGGTTTCACTGTAAATGGGAGTCGGTTTGATGAGGTGGTCTAGTCGGGAATTCCATCCGACGGCTACTCCACCATGACCTCTAAGTAGTTGGGGGTACAAAATAACCGGATGTTCCTGGTGTGGCAGGCACGCCGCCAAGAACCTGTAGTCAGAGTGCAGTTCCTGGATCTTTGGAATAATATTGTAATCGTGTAACCCGTGTTCAGAGATTGCAATCAGGTTCAGGGAGTAGTCATTAAGTAAGAGTTCTACGTAGATATTGATGATTAGGAGATAGTGAGACAGCAAACTATTATACTACTAGGAGACGGTAGAATTTGGTAAGTGTAAGGGGGCGAATTTGGGCTGCGTATGTGCGATGAGTCTGGGAGGGGGATTTTGGGAAACGAATTGAGCCGTGGAAGTGTGCCCATTGGTACATATAGTACAGGATCTCTTGAATTCCGATTCGCTGAGCAGGTAATTGAGGGGGAGAGACTCATTTGTGAAGGGGAGGGTTCTCTTGGCGTAGCCCCGGAGGTTGATGTGGAGTGGGGCAGCGATCTAAAAAAGAGATGGAGTGAGGGGGGACTGGAGGGGGCTGGTTACATCACTAGGAGTGAAGGGAGAGTATAGTTGGGTGCAGGACGTGGAAGGGGGAGAGGGGAGGGTAGATTGGGCTGGTATACTGTTACTGGAGCTGGATACTGGGAGCTCCGCCGTGGATGCAGGAGGGGGTGATTGTGGGTTCATTGCTGGGAGGGAGGGTGGTGTGTAACTCATGGACGTAGGAGAGGCTTGGTTTGGGGGGGACGGCTGGAGAGTGACTGGATTAGAGACCAGGAGGTCTTGGCCACCAGGAAGTGCCAAACTCTAGTGATGTCTTCCATTACCACCGCAGGAGCCATAATGGTGTACCACCACATTGGACGCCCGTCCCGGTGACGCACTGAGCGTGCTACTGTAATTGTCCCCACAGAGTGTTTGACAGGAGTGAGCAAACTGCCTTGTGCACAACCTGGGATGTGCAATTGCTTTTTGTTCAGAGACAATCCTGAATGGGAGGGAGTTGGAACCTCTTGGTCTAGGTCTATTTGCCAGTGGTCGATCAGGTTGGGAGGTGACCGTATTGACAGTATTAGTCGACTGTGAGTGTTGCTGGCGGAAGGAAGATGGTTGATGAAGTGATTGGAGCAGTGTTGCGAGTGACCATTTGATCACGAGTGGACCTCTGCTGTGTTCCTGTTAGAATAGAAACCAGAGTTGACGTTCTTTGGAGAGTGACTGAGTAAGAGAATTCAGTCGGGAGATTTCATCCTCTAGGGATAAGAGTCTTGTGTTGAATTCTGCCCTAACAGCACTCTTGATTTCTCTTGCCACTTGGTCAGCACCGACCAGAGGGGGTTGTGGGCTCACAGAGAGAGGAGTTGCTACCTGTTGCGAAGCTTAGAATCTGACAATAGGCGTTGTCTGGCTTCTAGACGAAGATGGTTGTCGTGTTGGTCTTGTGCATACGATTGGGGTATTGTGAGAAGTTACATGTATGTGTAGCTGGTCTTCCATGGCTGCCTGATTGGAGCAGTGTTGCAATCATCCGAGGTTGGGAGGTTGAGGATAGGGCCTGCACATTTCCGATTATGGGTTGCTGCGAGATAGAGATACTGCCACTCGCTTGGTGTTCGATATCAATGGCAACCGGGGGGGGAGTGATACAGGGGCCCATAGAGCTTGGTAATGTGTAGGTGGCAGGGGGAGAGCAGCTGGTTGTGGGGGAGGTTGAGCCTGAGGGATCTGGGAGGTAGGTATACAGGGAGGGGAGGGTGAGGAGCAATGAGGGGTTTCCCTAAAGAGTGGCGCTGTGGCGCGGCGCCACGCTACTTTTTCAGGCGAAAGCTCCTGCACAGTGACTGCACTTCGAACTTTGTACACGTGTCTTCTACTGGCTGCTGGTTGACAGCTGTCCGGGTCCTCGCGAAAGAACTGAGTACTAATGGCGAGGCGATCGAACAATATAACTGCCTACTTCTCGAGGGATGTCAAGATCGTCGACAGACAACCGGAACAGAAAAGCGCTGATGGAAAACACGTTGTAGGTTACAACAAAGCATGGGAGACCGAATTTTCTTGGCTTGTGCCCGTTTACACCAAGGAAACCGTGTCAGGTATGCTGTGTTCTGTGTGCAAGTGGCACAGTACTAAAAGTAAGTACAACAAGTCGTCTATGTGGAGCGATACGCCTTGGGTGTCTCTACATAAAGACGTTGTTCGGCGTCACTCAACATCTATACAGCATCAGGATGCTATACAGAGGGAAATATACCGTGAGGCAGCAGAGCGTGATGGTGGTATTGCTCAGGCTTTAGAGTTAGAGGTCTGCCTTGAGAAGAAAGCTGTGAAGGGTGCAATGCAGTGTCTATATTGACTTGTGCATTCTGAAAATACCTCACACTAAAAACTATGGTAGCTTAGTAGATGCTGTTAGACTTATGGGATGTGAATCATCTCCACAAAGGAGTAAACACTAAGTATATACAAAAGCCAAAGAATTATCCAAGAATTTCTGGAAGTTCTAGTGAGGCAGATTGAAGATAAGCAGCTGAAAGAGCTGAAATCAAGCATGTTTTATTACCCTCGGCGCGCATGCGCAGCGAGGGTACGGTAGTTGGGTCTGTCTGAATGTGTGTGTGTGTGTGTGTGTCTGTTACTCTATATATCACTTCTCCTATGTTTGTTAGTCTCACAAACGATACAACCTACTTCACGGGCGATGAAGGTCCGAAATTTCGAGCAGTTTCCTCTGAGAATGCTCCGTTGCAGAGCTAGAGCGCTTTCACCATTGTACGGCTAATGCCAGCCGCAGTAGGCCATTTTACTCTGCGGAAAACGCGCATGCGCATTATTCGTCCGCGTGGTGGAAAGCGGCCATTTCGCTTCTTGTTCGGTGAAAGGAAGGTGTCCAGTTGTGTGAGTTTTCTGGGGTTAGAGATTTCTCTATCAGCCTCCAAGTAAGGTATGCGCAGCGATTGTCCAGTTTAGCGTTGCTCTAAACGCTACTCACTGCTTCACCTAGCAGTGAGAAATGAACATTGTCACCAACCGCATAGCGTGCGTGGCCCAGCCCATCAATTAGCGCTGCTTCATGCGCATACGTACTGTACACTGCAGCCTACAATGCACTTTGCCAGCGTTGCGCCGAGGGTTTGCACTTTAGTGCTTTCTAGTTAACCCTCGGCGCGCATGCGCAGCGAGGGTTACGGTAGTTGGGTCTGTGTGTCTGTTACTCTACATCTCACTTCTCGAGTGTTTGTTCATCTCACAAACGATACGACCTACTTAACGAGCAATGAAGGTCAGATATTTTGTGCCGTTTTCTCTGAAAATGCTCTGTATTGTACGGCTAATACATAGTCGGCAATTTATATCGCTGCGGAAAATGTGCATGCGGTTATTATGCTAATTTGACCGGCCCCGCTTGCTCTGTGTATCTTGAAGGCACAAGACGTCACAACGGAGGGCGTGTATCGACTCCTGCATGCTATCTACTACTGTAGCTAGCCCGTGTCAGACTCTCCGCGAGCTATACTAGCGGTAGACCACCACGAAATAACCCAGCCCATCAATTAGCAGTACCGCGCATGCGCAGTTCGCCGAGGGTTTGCACTGTAGTGCTTTTTATTCTCTAATGATTGATGAGAGCACAGATGTGGCTGTATTAAGTGAAATGGTCGTATATGCTCGTTATGTGACTGCCACAAAAACCATCAAAACAGCATTTTTGAACATCACAGATCTCTTCAATGGTA